TCTTACTGTCTTGGTGGGTATGGTGGAGTCAACACAGAAATTGATGTAGTCTGTGATGCAGCTGGTAAGACTGTCGATGTCCTGGGCAGAACTATTTAGATTTTGCCTAGACCTATTTAAAATCCTTGTAGTATCATAATGTGAATGTTGTCCTGCCTGCTGCAAATCCCAGTTTGTCATGGATACAAATAAGCTGGCACACATCGCACACCAGACTCTTGAAAGTTAAACATGTTACCGGCATGCAAGCTTTAGTGTCTCACAATAGGCTTTGCACCGCATGAATGATTTCATCCTCAGCTTGCTTTATGATGTTGGGAAGGAAGTTAAATGGTTTATTGTGTCGGTGCAAAAGGCAGATACAAGGCCCTGGAGGTTTGAAGATCCTCCCCCTCAGGCTGTGTTTCTGCTAAAGACAGTTACATTGAGGAGGAGATGATACGCAAAGACCTGATCTCGAAACAAAGTAACTAAAGCTGCATGGCACTAACATGTTTACGTTTCGACAGGATTACAATCTCATGATATTAGAAGGATTTTAAATGGTATAGGCGAAATAAAATAATTTTAGTTCTGCCCAGGCAGATTTAAAATCTGCCTGAATTTTAATTTGGACTGTGATATATATATACACACACATATATATATATGGCACTAATCAAAAGGCAAGGATCCGTTGATCCGAAGCTAAACCCGAAGCTACTCCTGATGGCAGGCATTGCATGGCAGCTCTGTCGCCTTTGGTGTGTGAATGTAAGCACTCTAAGTATCACTAAGGTAGAAAGGCGCTCTGTAAGTGCAGATCATCTTGATTACTAAATATACCTGTATTGAAACAGACACATGTATAAACATGCTCTCCATCTCTATGTCTTTGTGTGTTTCAGTGCGTCTGAGTGGTAGGAGCTCAGTCTTGCAGATTCAAAGAAAGGGAGAATGGAAGACAGTCTGCTCAGAGGACTGGAACAACTGGCTGGGCATCTCTGCCTGCAAGCAGCTGGGATACTCCAGGTTTTGGCTTAAATTTGTTGTTTTCCTTTCTGTTGTTCTCTTTTTGTGCACAGTCTAAATGTTATGGTGTGATGGTAAATTTCTTGACCATGTCCCTCTTTGTTTATCTTGTCTTGATCTGGATTCTTAAACATTCTTCAAAAGTTTACGACAGTTTTAAAATGTAGGCCCACCTGTACGAGATTCCAACATATTGGTCCAGAACCAGAAACTACAGTACAATGTAAAAACATTAGGTACTCAAACTAAAATAAGTGTTAAATAGCTTCTGTTTATCAATGAATTTCATACAAAATATACCTTTTAAACAGCATCAATTCTCCTCTCTGCACCTCTGCACAGCTTTCAAAGCAGGTTGTTCTCAACATATTGGAGAATTAATTTAAGCAGTCTGCAGGTGACAGTAAGGACAGTGGTAAAGAGGTAGAAACATTAGAGAGGAGCGAGCAGGGAGCAGCTACTTTGTCATGCTAATGTGCTGTATGTTATGAACTCGCTAAAGGAACATACTAGAGGTACTAGAGAACAAAATGTTTGAACTAGTGAACTAGTCGTAGGAGAACGAAGCGTTGACAATAGATTGTCTTTGGGTAGGATAACATTCACTGAAAATATGAAAAGACTTGGTTGAATTCTTGAAGCAGTAGAGCTTTATACCTTTGAAAATTTTTTTAGGTGATTTTTGGTCATTTTTGTAAAAACAAAACAAGGGGGTGACCAACTCCCCCCAGTTATGACCAAATTTCCTTAAAATTAGACTGAAGTAGTTTTGGGTGGACCCCTTCAAACTGGCCAAGTTTTTTGAACTTGGTGAGATGGCTTGTGCCACCCCCGTCTGGTCCTATTGTGGATGCACTCTTAAATGCTGGAGTCCTACCGCTGCTTTGACTACTTCCAATGTTTCACTGTCAGACTTTGTCAGGCGTTGTCCACACTTAAACAGATATGTAGCAAAAAAAAACATTTTTTTTTTCAACATTTAGGCCTCTCATCCATATGTAAATGGGGCTTAAGATCGAAAAAACATATTTTTAAAAATAATCTCTACAAGTGACGTTTTTAAAAACTCGGATTTGGGTGTATGCAAAATGGAGAGCAAGAGAAAAATGATGTCACACGCAATTCATGCAGGCCCATTGTATTTGTCATCAGCATGCTTTGAATTTTTCCTTTCTGGAAAATTTCCCCTAGATTAAGAGGACAATCATGGTTTAGGTTAGGATCGTTAGTTTGTTATGTTTAAAGACTTTTGTCATCATTGTGGTACAAATAAGCATGCCACTAATGTTAGGGAACAGTCATGATTAAAAGAAGCAACATTAATTACTGGGTCTAACAAAGGAAATTAACTAACTTCCAGTCCAACGTTTGGTCAACCTGTTGATCTACCCTGACCTCCTCCCTGTGCTCACTTTACGACTTGATGGCTACTTCGGCTGAATTTCTTGTTTGTTCCAGTCATAATTACTACAGCCACTAGAGAGTGCAAGCTGTCCTGTTGCACAAGGCAGCTATAGATCACTTTAATATAAAACACGTCCAGTTTGAATAACAGATCTGTGGTTTGAAGGCTTATCAGATGTCAGTGCACTGCATAGTGATTTATACAACTATGTTGGCTTTGTAAAGGTTATTAGTGGTGGCAGAGACTGGCAGATGGGACAAACTTAGGTGAGCTTCAATGAAACTCACTGAAAATGAAAAAAAAAAAAGGTGCTGCTGGGTTCTGCCAGGTGGATTATGGCAAAAGATGGCTTAACAGAAGAAAAATGGCCAGGTGAAATCTAAAGGGGAAAGTGAAGGCTTACAGAAGAATGCAAAGATGTAAGTCTGTAAGCAGGGAGTGAGACAGGAGCAGACACTGACAAACAGAGGAACTCACAAGTGACAGCAGAAGACACAGGGCGATATATCCACAAAACACAGGTTGAACTAATGAGGGTGGAGAAAACGATAAAAAACGAGTCACACAAGGTAAGTAGTAGCAAATAACACAGGCAGTAACTAAAAGAAGAGAGACACAGTATGCACACATAGACAAACAGGGAGCACAGGAGACATGGGGAAAAGGAAAACACTTACATAGGGGGAGAACAAAAAGAAAAATGGGCTCATTCCAGTATTTTAATAATTGATGTCTTGTCAGATATGTGGAGTCCTTCTTCATCTCCCTGACATCCATTGAGCAAGACCTTCAGACCAGCCTGGTGTCTATCAACCTAAGCCAGTCACAGATCATTAAGCTCCAGAACGCCGCAGCCTTCAGGTACACTGTACTTCCCCATTTAAATAAATAAGAAATTTTGCAAACTAACTGTGCTAATGGCTAGTGACACTGAGAAGCACAGAAATAATCCAAACCTGCTTGATTTGGATCTGTTTAACACTGTGTAGTTCTGTAGTTCACAGGTCTTAACTGTCCCCATCACATGGATGGGTAGGCTCACACAGCACTTCACGCTGTGTGAAGGGATTTAGTGATTTATATTTCACAAATACTGATCAGTTCCTTTTAACATCTCTGAGCTTTTACTTTCACAGAATCCCGTTGACTCCTTGTAAATAACAGTGTTTTTCTAGGTTTACTGGGTACAGACTCTTACTTTGAAAGCAAACCCAAGTATACAGATGGTTTGTTCACTAATACATGTATGAGAAAGAGACAGACATGAATAGTGTTCAGTAAGCTCTATTGACATCAGGGAGATTTTGATTCGACACCCTAGCACAGGCAAAGGCGATGAGGTGGCATGTTTATTCTGAAAAGCCAACATATTTCAGAGTCCCTTGTAAATCTTTTGTAACATTTCAGAACTTTTATTTTTATAGTGTATTGTATCTCAATGTATCCCATTAACTTTTGTTAGTCAACAAGGGCTTTTAGTTTGAAAAGCCACATAAGTGAGCTTCCTTCTGGTGTTAGAGTCTTGTTCCTTTTTAAAGAATAAAAGAATATGCAGCTGCTATAGGTCCAATGTTACTCGGGACAGATTCTTATTTAGAAGTTTAACCAAACAAATATGGAGCCACTGAAGACTCTACTCTATAGCGTATAGATCTTGGTCTGGGACATTTAGAACATGTATCAAGGTTTTGTTAATATCAGTAGAAATATTTGTGCTGATTTGCCTTGAAGCTGCTGTCGTATACGTCCTGCTGACAGAGCCATTATAACAATATGCTGTGTTGATGGAGGCCACCATGTTTGGAGTCCTTTTCCTCAGACCAGTATCAGTGAGCCAAAAGTGTGGGTGCAAAGAGAGGGGCAGACCGGCCTGCGAAGGATAAGCCCTCGAACAAACTGTCACAACTCAAAAACTATAAGTTGTGTGCACAATCTTGTTTTGAACACACTGATATATTTCATGTCCGTACTGTGTATTATATAGATTTGGTGGCAGGTTGGAGAGACTCACCGTTTCTGATTCTCACACAAAATTTTGGAGCTCAGGAGTCAGAACTTTGGTTGGCACACTCTGTGCTCTGAAGTAATTTATTAAAAACCCATAAGCCCTATAGCAATGAGATTAACACTCAGGGAAAGAGAACAAAAATGCCAACATTTTTATGTATAAATTGTTCATGTAGAAGAAAACTTGTGAGGAAACAAAAGTAACCGCACTTTATAAAAAAAAAAAAAAACTCACTCATCACAACCATGACATCATCATCTGTGTTTTCCCAAATAGTCTGAAGGCATAGTAATTTTAGTGTATGTAAACTTCTGGCTAAAGAATTCTCTCTCTCATTATTCTGGCATTTTGCAACTAGAAATCATGTTGGTAATCCTAACGGACCTAAAACAGGAAAAGTTTAGTCTAATTTAATGTCAGACAGTGGAAAAAAAAGTTGTGTCTTTTTATACAGTGTATGTAAACTTCTGGTTTTAACTGTTTATACATAAAGATATATATATATTTAGTATTTTTAATGTAGGTAGATCATTTTAACTTGGTCATTTTAAATACACTGTTTCCCATTTGTTTTAATTTTTCAACCTTGGTCATATAACAGGAAACACATATTCGGGGGGATTTCATGCATAAGAATGTCCAATAGTACTCTTTAAATGTCACTCAGTCACTCATGTTGAGTCTGTCCACCCCTGACACGGATCAATGGGCAGGACGTCCCACTCTAGAGTCAGATCCCAAAGTCAGAATTGGTTTCACCTGGTAACTGGGACTCAGTATGTAATCATTGCACCTGGTCACAGTGATTACTGATGTGTAGAAATAGAAATAAAAAGAGAATTGTGTCTGAAAACAACAATTATTCCAACTTTATGGACAACAGTGTAACTCACAAGCTGAAAAAATGTGGGTACTCGTGATCTATGAGAATAAGCATGAGGAATAATAATACACTTCCATGCTTATGCATTGGCACACTTAATTAAATTGAAACGTCCATAAAATTTTAATCTAAGTTTATTAAATTTTAGACAGCAGTAGGATCCACACAAGTGTTTCTCCAAAGAGAGACAGAGATGTGCTCATTTACGAACATGGATCAAACAGCACTGGACTTTTTAAATTGAATATGTGCAGTATGATTAAAAATCATCCCTGACAGAGAATCAGTCCAGATCACACTCTAGTGGCACATGTACTTTTCTTCACCTCAGTCAGGTGAGCTGTCACACACACAGTCACAGTTTCTAATTGACGGTTAAGTCATTTGCTATATCGATCGAAAACGTTCATCATGTCTTCTTAGTGATAATATAATGTTCAGTTTCTCTATTCAGACATGTAGAGTGTGGTTCTTATTACCTGACAGTTTCGGCGACAGCGCTCGCCTTCTTCAGAGATGACACTGACAGCGGGTGATGTGTCAGCCGGCAGATTTTGACAGCCGGCACCTGCGGCACGCCCAGCAGAGCCGCCAGATCCGCAGGGCAAGCCACGCCCACACCGAAATGGTGTGTCGTGGCGAGCTCAACAGACCCGACCGTCCCGCCAGGCGCGCCACACTCCCCCGCCGGTTACTTTTTCTGGAGCAGGGAGTCCCAAGCGTGCGAGAGCATGAAGCCCCCGTCGTCCCCCTTCATGGTCCTCTCAGCGCGCTTTCTGATTTCAATTGCCTCTCTGATCCATCGTTTGTGCCCGTCAAAAACAAAACACACGACTCGATCTGGCGGCTCTGCTGGGCGTGCCACAGGTGCCGGATGTCACAATCTGCCGGCTGACACATCACCCGCTGTCAGTGTCATCTCTGAAGAAGGCGAGCGTTGTCGCCGAAACTGTCAGGTAATAACAACCACACTATACATGTCTGAATAGAGAACCTGAACATTACATTTGCTATATAGTGACCATCCTCATATTGAGTCCTGAACTCTATCACAGCTGTCAGGATGTTTTTATTTTACTGTTGGTAAAATAGCTGTTAGATTATTATGACAAGTGGACAGGATTGGCATTGTTCAGGAAATCATAAATTAATAACTAAGCTGTTAGTTATTTGTATAGTCTGGTACGCTGCTTGTAGTTTAGTTACTTTAGACTTAGTCTTTGGTTTCACTGCATTATTATGTATTACAAGTCACTTGGTGTGTTGTCCAATCTCACTTGTATGACAAATGTGGCATCTCCACCATGGTGAAGGAATTTGTATGGAGCGTTAACAAAAAAGTGGCCTATGTTTGAATGACAGAATGGTATATTTATCCCTACTTGGAAGCACAGTGGAGCCTACCCCAGCTGATGCTGAGTGAGGTTGGATTCACTGGACAGATCACCAGTCCATCAGCAGGCTCACACAATGAGACAGACAGTCATTCACATCCACATACATCTCACAACTACAACCAATTTAGAATCACCAATAATCTACCATGCATCTATTCGGACCGGGAGAGGAAGCATCCAGAGAAAATCCATCCAGGTTCAGGGAGAACATGCAAACTCCACACAGAAAGGTGCCAGCAGGTTAAAACCCAGAATCTGCTGTACAGTGACAGTGACAGCCACCCTACATAACTATAGTACTTGAATGTATATCATGCTGTCAAATATTTTCACTGATTTTGAATGAGTGCATTACAGTTTGTATTTAAACCAATCTAAGAAATGTTCTTCTTTATGTGAACATTTTGTGTTCTGTGCTGCATTTTGCGAATTGTGAAGTCACTAAACATCCACATGTTAACTTGTAGTATTTGTTTATGTTTGCTGAGCTTCTCCGTGATTTGACGTGCACCTCCTGTCTCACCACAGTAAGACGCAGTGCAGCTCAGGGTTGGTGACCACTCTGAAATGTTTGGGTAAGAAAAAAAGATTGTAAAATAAGTGATCTTAATATGGAGGTGAGAAGAGCACATGTCCTGTGGTTTCTGCAGGTGTTCTTGCATGACATGAAGTGTTACTTTGTTGGTGTGCATGTAGTTACTAAACTCACCCAGAAAAGTAGTCTGCATGTGCTAATGAGCTTAATAAGAACAGACTGACAACTATGTTTAATAATATTTGTATGAAACACAGTTTTATCTTAAGAGCAAACCAGGGCTACATGCAATTACTTTATCACATATGGATGACAAATTAAAGGTAAAAGCAACATGAAGTGTCTTAGTAAGGTGTTGGGCCAGCAAGTGCCACCAAAATAACATCAGTGCACCTAGGCATTTATTCTCTTAGTCTCTGGAGCTCTACTGGAGGGATAGAACACTTCTTTCAAAATGTATGCCCTCATTGTGGTGGTGGGGAGTGCTACTCATCAAACCATTTAGTCACTTTCTTGTGTCATAGACTCACTGTAGCACACTCATTGTTACACACCTGTGCTATATGACGTTCAAACACACTGCCCTCAGCTGCAATCTGGTAAATATAGGCCTTTTAAAGATCTGGTCCTGTAGTGAAGACTTATCAAACTGAGTATTCTATTGCTGTAATTTAATTTCTGTAAATCACTTTAACCCCAGAATTTTATTCAAGCCTGTCATTTTACTGATGTCTCACAGGAGATGTGTGAGAAATATTTTTTATTTTTTTTCAAAACAAAGTTAAGGATGTGGGAGTCAGGAGACATCCATATTTATTTGAACAGTTTTGATCCTTTAACATTGTCCTTTCCATCTGAAATTAAATCAACCATGTGCAGCCTTGGTACCCTTACCACCAAATTTCTTAAGAGGTTAATGACACAGTTGGGCCCAGTATTTTAATGATTATGTGCTGTTGAAGATATCTCACATTGATCCTTAGCAATTTTAGGCCAACCTGTAAAGTTCCGTTCTTTAGGTTTTTTAGTTTTTTAGTTTTAGAAAACTGGTTTCTACCTAATTTTTAGTTTTTATGTGTCATAATAACATCCTTCAGAAGTTTCAGCTAGGTTTTAGATCTTTACACAGCACAGAAACTGTTCTCCTCAAGTTAACCAGTGAACTGCTTTTAGCAGCTGATAGAGGGAGAGAGCGCAATTGTAATTCTTTTAGACCTGAGCACAGCCTTTGACACAGCAGCTTATGCCATATTAATTGAGCTTATTGAAAACAGGGTAGACATCAAGGGCACCGTACCTCCTTTGTTTTATTCCAACCTTTTACAACGAGACTGCTTAATAGGGAACTACTCTTCTACAGCTTACATTACCTCTGGCATACTACAAAGTTCAATTTTTGGTCGAATTTTATTTTCTATTTTTGTTTCCATTTGGCCAAACTATTCAACATCACAACGTCAATTTTCACTGTTATGCTGCTGGCACACTGATGTACCTTACACTGATATCTGGTGCCCCAAAAAGCCTTACTGCTGTTTTAGATTGTCTATGAAGTCAACTGCTAGATGACACAAAGTTTTCTTCAATTCGCTAACTCCAAATCACAAATCATATTTTTCACTCCTCTGTCGGCAGAAATATAGGAGTGCTAACTGATTCAGATCTAAAATCTATTTCACAAATCATAAGGTTGTTCAATCCTGTTTCCTTCAGTTTAGAACCCTCTTTAGAAATAAATTAATACTCTCCGACCTAGAAAAAGTAATCTACTTATTTTTTCCAGGCTTTGTCCCTGTAGCTTTCTGGTATAAACCAATAGTATCTTTTCGACTTTTAAAGGTTAGTAGTAGAAGTGATAACTCAGTATGAGCAGCTCACAGGCTTAGACCCTCAGGTAGGGCTCTTCTAGCTGTTCCAAGGTCAAGCTTAAACCTAAAAGTAACTGTGCTTTTGCTCTGCTTCACCTTTAGGACAACCTGAGGTGATTTTGTGTTGTCCATTTTATTGCTTTTTTTTCCTTTGCATGTATTTATTTTGATACAGAGTTAATGATCCTTCCATGTCAAATCATCAGAGACCATCTGTAATTTGCTTGAAACTTTTTAGCACAAACTATGGACATTTAAAATGGCATCTGTGAAATTTTAGCTTGATATATTAGATGCTTTCAAGGGTGTTTTTTAAAAAACTTTCGGTATGTTTTTTTGAGCACTACAATTTGAGGATATGTTTGAACAACAATATCGTAGGAACTATTAAAGATAAAATCCTGAAATTTCCAATGTTATTTCTCATCATGTCTTTTATTCAGAATCTGCGATATCGGACAGATAGATCAAATAGTCTCTGATAATGGGTGAGTTAAAATATATGGAAAAAATAAAGCATTCATACAAAACAAAACATATACAGTACTTGTTGATATGAAATACTAGCTGAGAAAAATGTAAGAAAAAAAAAAGGCAATTTTTGTTTAACTCTCATAGCTGATTGAGCAGGTATTACAAGTTCCATCTGTCCATCATCACTACACCTTAACCTTCACTAGGGTTGCGGGGGGGGGGCGCACACCTACAGACAATTTAGAATCACCAATTAACCTCAGCATGTTTCTGGACTGTGGGAGGAAGCTGGAGAACCCGGAGAAAACCCACGCTGCACAGGGAGAACATGGACACTCCACACAGAAAGATCCCAAATGTCCTCACCGGGACGCAAACCAGCGACCTTCTTGCTGCGAGGTGACAGTGCTAACCACCGAACCACCTTGTTGCCCATCTTCAAATATAACTAAGGAAATATCCATCCATTCATTATCTATACACTGCTTAATCCTCACTAGGGTTGCGGGGGAGCTGGAGCCTATCCCAGCCGACTTAGGGCGAAGGCACTAAGGAAATATATTTTTTTAATATGTGCATATTTTTTGGACCATACATTATAGGCTGGAGAAGAAGATTAAACCTTACCCTCACACTGTAACTTTCTAAACAGAGTCCAGCAGAGTCCTGACTCTATTCCTGAAGGCCACGTTTATTCCCAGTCTAGCACAAAGCAGGAGAATCTATTGTGATTCTTTCAGTTTCCTCACTGATTGTGAGAATATTTTCTTGCTTATATTTGGAGAACCACTTTGAAAGTCTATACGAGCAATATGTCCATGTCAAAAAATGTTCTAGAACTCTGTTCTACTTGGATCAGGCTATCTAGTAATGTTTTTGTTTTTGTAGTACAGCTTCTCATACCTGCCTAATCAGTTGTGAAAGTTCAATGAAAGTAATCTTTTTTTTTTTTTTAATTTTGTGATCAATATTTCACATTACAAAGTTTTCTATATGTTTTGTTTTGTATTGTTGTGACATGCAACTACATATTTTTCAGAAAATATCACCTGTTGACTTGTGCATAACTAATTTTTGTTAACATACTCAAAGATGTGACTTCATGATGGTGTCACTGTTTTCATATGTCAACTCACCTATAAACAGAGATTGTTCAATTGAATATCAATGGCACAGTGAACAATAACAGTCATAAAAGTTTCATGCAAATCAGAAATAGTTATAAAGAAATTGTTCTAAAAAACTGATGTTTTGAGATGGAATGACCCTTATGTATTTTTGTGTCTTAATTTTGCCTTACCCTCTGGCTTCCTGCTGTTATTTTTGCCCATAACAGAGCTATTGGGTCCCCTTATTGCGAGGGTTAATTTGCCTTTCCTTTAAATTGTCACCCATCTGTAAGTGGAACAACGTGTGTGCATGTGTGTTTATTTGGTTTGTGTGTATTTGTGTATTGGGTTTAATATTCACACGCTTAAATGCTCACTCTGCCAATTCTGCCAGTACACATAAAGATTGAATGACTTCTAATCACCTTGTGAAAGCCATATAATTTCTTTTCTGAAGAACCATGTCAAGCCTGAGAAAATAGTCCTGTCATCAAGCTCATCTTAGCCCCTGCTAAGAAGTTGTACATTTCAGTTAGAGGGGGATTCAGCTTGCATATGATTCACTGTATTTGTAAGTTGTGGATTACTCAGGATGTCCTGGCCTCTGCTGCCCTGATGTACTTGATGTGTCCATGTCAGGCCACAGCAAAATCATCAGCCCAAAACGAATGATTCAAGGATTCAAGGCGTTTATTGGTCACAAACACAGTTATATATGGTATAACACACAGTGAAATGTTTTGTATACCGTTCCACACCGAAAAAATATTAAGAGGATGAATAAAAATAAAGAATAAAACACACAAGAATACGAATATATATATATATATTAGAGATGCGCCGATCAGGCCGATACTGGACGAAATTACGGTATCAGATGATTTACTCCACAGTGGTAACTGGCCGATCCGATACCGCCACATACACACACAATCCTGCCTTCCGACACATCCACGTGTTCGTCTGCTCATTGGCTACAAGTGTACAGTGTCAGAGAGTGTCTGCAACCGGACTGGTCGAATCTACAAGGGTGGAACTTGTGCGTACCGGGTTGACTGTCTGAGACACTCCATTGGCTCTTCAGGCTGTCACTCACCCCCAAAGCCCTCCTATTGGCCAAACTAGGTGTCAATCAAAAGCTGAGCCGTCTAGCTGACTGTAGCGCTTTCAGCGCGATCTAAAATAGATTCAGGCTGATTTTGCCAGAAGAAATGAATAAAACAGCCGGAGCTGACCTCAAGCTGGGAAGACATTACTGCAGAATTTGTGCCTTTTCAGGATCTAATACGTTGCAGAGAGCCTTCAAAAGTAAGAAAACT